CTGAAAGACCCCGAGCAGGAAGGTGAAGTCAAAATCCTCAAGTTTTTGCTTCAAGGAAGCACTCTGTGCAATGGTCTCTTTGTCCCATCCCGGCTCTGTCATTATCCTGTCAAAAGCGATACAGAGCGACCCGCGTCCTTCATGGATGGCGTGTACTGCGCGGCTTTTAAAATTCCACCTCACAGCAGAACCCCCTGGTACACGCACAGCTCGATCAACTTCAGACAGTAGTGCTGATCTCTTACATGAACGTGAGAAAAAATTGTGGAAGGCATCGAGATTGGCAAAAAACAGTTTGGCTGCTTGGATGTTGTTTGTGCCTTGTGCTAAAACCAAATTTAATTTGTGAGCATAGCAGTGGATGAATAGCGCATTGGGGCAGTGTGCTTTCACTAAAGCCTGAACGCCACCGTGCTGTCCACTCATGCAGCTTGCTCCGTCATAAGTCTGACAAATCAGTTTGTTTGTTGGGCTGTAGTTCCCGATGGCTCTCATGACAACTGATGTTACAGCTTTTGCATCTCTTTCTAAGCTGACATCAAAAAAGCCGAGGAAACGTTCACACACACTGCCTTTTTCATTCACATATCTGATTATGATAGTGAGTTGGCACTTATTGGAGATGTCTGATGTGTCATCCACTTGTACAGCAATGAAAGGAGAAATGTGTATTTCTTTATCAGTCTCATCCTGGATACAACGAGCTATGCTCTCAATTATGTCATTTTGTATGGTGTTTGACATACCACTGAAGACTGTTGACGATCCCAAGTGCTCCGCGAGTGCAGTGTCAAACTCTGCAAATGCACGTACCAGCTCTACAAAATTGCCCCTGTTAGAGCTGCCAGCGGCCTCATTGTGTCCCCTGAATGCTTGCTCTTGACGTGCAACGTACAGGGCAGCAATGATGAGTTTCCTCAGAATATCCCGGTTCTTTTTTACTTGTTCGTTGTGCTTCTTTGTGCTAATGGTTCTTGCTACATCCAGAGCCTCGTCAATCCTGACGCGTCCAAAAAGCTTTAATTTCACAGCACAATCTATATGATTTTTAGATTTACCGTGCCTCTCAATTGCCCGTGACAGGTTGGCAACGTCGATGAATCCTGAAGTTGCCCAAGGATTGTTCAGGGAGCACGAACCCTTGTCAAAAAGAAGACATGGCCAGCAAAATAGACGCTGAAGTTTAGCGCTTCCAGTTAGCCCTCTCCGTGCGGACATAATTGTCCTCATTGAACGTCCGATTAGATCCCTTATTCCTCTGTGTACACAGCTCGAGTGTGGGCGTTGTCCTGCCATCTGCTTTAATTTTTAGTGGCTGCTGTAGCGGAAGTTTAGTGAAGTTATGCTTAATTAAGTACGCCAAATCTCCTCCCTCCATAATGCTTCATTTGCTTGATCATTTCTAACGGCGGTGATGACAGTTACAGTATTCAAATTGATGTTGATGTGATTGGATGGCAGTGTCCAATCAAATCGCCAGCCGCCAGCCGCCCCTGAAGGGAAGCTAGAGGCGGCTGGCTTCCCCTGGCATGGCCCTGACCAATCACAGGTTGGCAGGGGCATCACGTGGGCCTCATCTGATTGGTTAATCCCTCAATTTTTTTTCACCAAGGGAAGCTAGATTCTGCTGGCCTCCTCTCGCAACAGTGAATGCAATCTACTGTTTCACCATGACATCTAGAGGGGCGCTGTTTCACTCTTTGTAAAATACTCAATGAGAATGGGGGAGAGACGGAGAGACGGTCCGGCAGGAACACACAGGAAAGTAGAATTACAGAAACAAAACAAAGTGTTTTTCTTTATTTATTTAAGTTATAACTACAATCCGAAAAAACAGGGGAAGCCTGGCTTCCCTTGGCCTCCGGGAGAAAACGCCACTGCTGTACACATCCCGTTTCAATAATTCCCCTCTACTCTAAAGTCGCATCTAAAAAGAACGCCATCTAATCTAGCTGTGTATATTTTGTTATTGTTGATTGTTATATTCAATCTCATTAGCTTCAGGCATTTTTTAAGCTTGTAAAGGGAAGAACACAGCTCGCCTCTCACTCGCCACTCTGCTCTTCTACAGCGCCGCTTCCCCTCCCTCCGCTGACATTATGAATGTAAGGCATAGTAATCATAGATAACTCCGCAGGGTCCGTTACAGTTTGTTTTCATCTGATTTCAAATAAACAAAGTCTTGGCTTTCAGAATATTAAACTTGTTTCGGCAAATTCAGATGATAAATACAGCTTTGAAGCTTTTAACGGCATAATTACAAGCGGAGAACGGAGTAATTTGACGTCACAGCAAGCATAACAACAGCCGGTGTTTCTTCTGAAAGTTTTCCCCGGGAAACAAACGCAAAAATACACAAACACACACACGTGGTATACACGCACACATTCGCGAGCTCCCCCCAGACCAGTAATCCAAACGAAAATATCTTCCCTCCGTACTACTTTGATCATTTGCTCCGCTAATAATCAATCAGATCGATCCAGAGAAGAGGAAACTTTAAGGCCTTTTTCTCAAAATGATGACTCGGTGACAGTCATTATATAATGTGACATATTTTGCTTAATATAGTACAAAAACAATCCTGATCATTAGAAAGCTAGGAATCTCCTCTTTCCAACAGTGTATACAACTCAAAATGTGTCTTCGGATCAATGCGACTGATTTCGATGGAGCAGGTCACTTTGCATTAGGTAAAATACAGCAGGCAGACATAACAGGAAGAATATGTACATTTTAATCCAATCAAATAGGACATTGTCACACCATTCAAATGATCCATGTACATTACAACCAATAACAAAGCTTAGATGTGTTTATTTGTTACGTTGTTTACGTTATGTGTTACGTTGTTCAGTGTGTGTCAGCCGTTAAAGATAAACTTGCAAACATGTCAGAAGAACCGGCGCATAAGAAAACAAAATACAGTCAAACTAAGCTGAAATTCAACAACTTGAATGTCACATCCCTGACATCCACAACTCCGGAGCCTGGTCCTTCAACCATAGAACCAGCGCAGCCAGATGAACCCCAGCAGCAGCTCTGCGGCCGCAGAGGCTGTCAAAACCGCCGCCGCCGGCATCGTTGAACCGAAACAGGCTGGTTCCGACTGCATGGAGGTTTGTTGTCGGGACATTGTGACGGGCCAATAAAAGCTTATTTGGGCAAAGAGAAGGTACTTCAATGCAGAATGGTACAAAAACAGAGAGTGGTTAATTATTTGCAAAACCACTAAACGAGCCTTCTGTGAAATATGCAGATGTGCTGCTGTCAAACGGCTTGTAACTTTCTCCAAATGTGGAGATGACAGCTTTGTAAATACCGAGTTAATAACTGGAACTTTTCACAGAGCTTACTTCAGTCAAACACCAGTCAACATTCAGCTTGTCAAACAAGAGCGTATAGCAGGAAAAAAGAAGAGATGGAATGAGCAACTGCGCTGTCATATGTGGGCTGGTCTGTATAGTTTAATGTACAGGAAAGGAGTGAGCAGAGGGTTGAGTTGTCCATTCTTGTTCTGTTTTCTCTGACTATCTTCCTCCTGAAGACCCTCTCAGACTTTCATTTGCTCGCGCTACTAAAGAGACACGTTACCATGGAAACCAAACAATGGTGTAGCTGTATTGAAGTCCGAGTGGAAACAGTAACATTTGGTGCGTTATGTTAGAATGAAACAAATTAGATTTAGTCAGAAATCGGGAGAAATGAGGGATAAATATGACCCCGGGAGGAAAACGGGAGTCTCCCGCGAAAATCGTGAGGGTTGGCAAGTAGAATATGTCACATACACACGCACTTTTTGGCCCCCCCACTTCTGAAATGAATCCGGCGCCGCTGGTTGGTAGACAAAAATATTTTTGACCCAGCATTTGGGTTGCACAAAAATAACCCAACACCATATTAATAACCCTGAATGGGTTAAACATTTCATAACCCCATGGTTGGGTAGATGAAATAACCCACTGTTTTTTGATACTGGAAAGTGGAGGATATTAATGATTGTGTTACATTTGAGCAGCGGTGCACATACCATGAATATGGGGACATGCCGGACAGATCAAGTAAGGGTGACGATCCACCCGCTGTGAAATGAATTTATCTTCCATATTTGCCGTACACTTGTGTTTACGGAAGTTGAGATGTTTCTCGGTTGTGATTGGTTGTTCCTCGTCACATGACGAGCGGTGCGCGCTGCTGCAGTGCACGTCTCCATTGAAACCAATGGAAATGAGCTCGCAACGCTGATGTTTATGGCTGGTATGGCTCCGTACAAAGTTGTACTCATTGCATTAGTATAGGCTACTGTGGCTTTTTACACTGGAGGCGCCCATCTCGGTCGAAGTCGGTTCATATTAACGTAAAGGTACATAATGAAATGGTAAATGTCGCCTTTAAGGAGCAGAACATTTTTGTTTTATTTGTGTGTGAATAATGAAATAATTTCAAATATGTTTTTCTGTGATAGGTAATTGGTGTGGAGAAGATTGACCTCAGCCTTCCTTTGAACATTGTTCCAAAGGCTCTGTAGTAAATGGTGAGTATTCAAATGTTTTGTGTGATTTACTTGACTAATTTAAACTTGATCTTTAACTAATTGAAATCTGGTATTAGTCTGACAATTTCTGAATATTTATTCATAACATTTACATACTGCAAACATTGCAGGGATATACACATGTTCTGATTTATTAGGCAAAAGTTATTCAGAAAGTGAGAGGCAAAAGCCAAACATTCTGTGATAAAGCCTCCTTCACAAAAGTGATAATGTTTTGTTTGTTGAAATGGCTATAAGGGTGTTTCTTATATGTAGTCTTATATTACAGTAATACTTATTTTAAATCGCTTTGGAAAAAAACATAAACTAAATGAAATGTAATGTAGTCTAACCTGGTTGTTCGTACTTGATATAAAAAGTTATTCTCACTATGGAGCCAAAACAGGAGTAATGTGGTCCCTTTTCCGTGCTCTGGTCAATACATTTTGAATCAGCTGAAGCAACTTAACTGAGTTTTTGGTACACCCTGATAATAAAGAGTTACAATAAGCTAGCCTTGAAGTAACAAATGCATGGACTAGTTTCTCTGCATCGTTTTGAGGCAAGCACACAACTACAATCATAACATCATTAGAAAATGAAATGATTTCATGATTTTTATGACTGTGATATTTTGTTTTCTTTGATAAATGCGGAGTTTAAGCGCATAACAACCCTGCCCCTCCAATCAGATGTCTCTCTCAGCTGAATGTGCTATCTGACAAACTTCTGAAGGTTTTTGAGAAGAGAGGAGGACAGATAGGTCAGCGTTTGAACTGTATTATGTCAAACATGACTCAAGTAAGAATTAATTTTAAGGAAATTATACATCGAGTCAATGGTGTACACATTTCATTGAGCAAAATAGATTCTTTATTTTCTTATTCCCCTTCACTTAGGTTGATGATGTCGATTTAGGCCGGGATTGTCTTCTCAAGGGGCTGTGTGTGCACCTCAATGAGAGAGTTTGTGGTCAGTAGAAGTAATATTTGACCTTTTGATTTTTTTGTTGGCCGTTAAAATATGTATTTATTGAAACACCACATAGTATATAGCCAACAGTATGTGAACATCCCTGTTTTTTGTTTAATAGCCAGATTACACTGAAAAGCTAGAGGGCTTTTAATTTAGAACGGATACAGGAAATGAAACATTTTTTATCAGGTCAGACAGGAGTATATCAGATAACAAGGAGGCTTAAAAGTATTGACATCTGACCAAATGTACTTGTTAAACACAAGGACTTAGTAATGGGTATATTGATTTGTTAGATCTCACTCTGTTCCCTTTGTGACTGTGCACTCTGCAGGCCATTGAGGGGATTACAGTGGGACTTTATGTTGTCAAACACAATTCCACCATGAGACCAGAGGACAGATGAGACCAGAGGACAGATGAGACCAGAGGACAGATGAGACCAGAGGACAGATGAGACCAGAGGACAGATGAGACCAGAGGACAGATGAGACCAGAGGACAGATGAGACCAGAGGACAGAGGAGACCAGAGGACATATGAGACCAGAGGACAGATGAGACCAGAGGACAGATTGTCCTGGAAGGCCAACAGGTAGCCTACTAACTGATGTGCACAACATTGCATTAGCTGCTACCATGCTGTTTGGACTAATGTATGCAATGAACCTGAACTACCCCCCTAAACTGAAGTGCACGTTCGAAGTGCTCCAGCAAATGTTAATGGAGCTAAACGGCAACATGCTCTCCAAGAAAGCACAAGCGTTTAAAAACAAACTGTGAGCTGTTGCCATGGACCATTGTGCACTTTTACAGCATTCATACTGGACTTTCATCGATACAACTGTCTTGCACTTCCTTTGCTCATGCTTTTTGCTTGATTTGCATGTTTCAGAAATGTGGGTTTTTCCTGGGGTCATGTGTTTTCAGAATGTACCACTTGTCATGTGTTTCAGAATGTACTAATTGCGCTACTTCAAAATGTCAGTTCTTGTTTTTATTTGTAATACTTTCTTTAGTGCATATGTGGTGAGAAACCAGGCCATTATTATACTTTCATGTATTTTTCCAAAGCAATGCCATTGATTTCCTGCATTAAAGTGCCCTTTCATATTAGCAGGTTACTATTTAAATAATGGATTTGCAAGAACATTTCCTTTTTTCGGCTAGGTGTTGACATTTTCTGTTAATTGTTTACTATGAATGAGTTACAAAAATAAGCCTTTCTTTGCCATTTGGCACAATAAACCTTATTTTGGTCGGGAGAATAGTTTCCTTTAAGCTTCCTTGCTGTGTTCTAGCACAATAATGTATATGTACATGCATCACAAACATTTTCTATTTCTTCTATTTCTTTATTTTCAATGTATTTATTAATTCTCCTGGGGCTGCATGATGGAAAAACCAAAAGCTCACCTGGATGCGTGGTGGTTGTTAATATTGTTTTATTTTTTGAGAAAAATACATGAATGTTGTTCAAAGAAATGTGTTTGTCTTTATTGACTATTTGTTTTAAAATGTTATGATAAATGCTGTAGATATAAGAGATTAGGATGGATCCTGTAGAAGAATGTACAAAATGCCTCTATTCACATGAAATAAATAATCATGTACCCCTTGAGCACTAGGTAGATTAAACAGAAAACTATAGCATGTAGTTTAAACAAAACATTCATGTGGCTCTGTACAGAAATATACTGAGTATATTAAAAGCCTAAAATGAACATAAAAAGTCATGTTGGTTAAACATAGGGTAAATGAATATACCTATATTAAAGGAAATATTCAAATGAACATAACAATTTCATGTTTCTTTGACATAACATAGTTGTGTGTCTCTAACATAATGGAATAGTTTTGAGTACACATGTTTTTAATATGTGCAACCGATCTCCATGTTTTTTATTACTTAAGTCCAACAGACTTTTTACAGTGAAGCTTAAATAAAGAAATCATGTTGCTTTAACAGGTACAAGTTAAATATACTGAGCATATTAAAAGCATAAAATGAACATAAAAAAGTCATGTTGGTTAAACATAGGGTAAATGAATATACCTATATTAAAGGAAATATTCAAATGAACATAACAATTTCATGTTTCTTTGACATAACATAGTTGTGTGTCTTTAACATAATGGAATAGTTTTGAGTACACATGTTTTTAATGTGTGCAACCGGTTTCCATATTAAAATCATGTTAATCCAACGGCCTTTTTTTTTCAGTGTACATCAGATTGTCCAGATTCTCTCTGAGTGACTAGATGGGGTGTCCTGCTATCACCCTGAAGTGAAATAAGTATTTGATTGACTTCGAATGATTCTTTGATTATGGACGGTTTCCATTAAATAATAATCAAAATATTGATGGACAATGGATCTAATTTGAGATTTTAAACGGCATACATTTTAAATTGTGCTTCAGAAAGTAATGTTATTTTAGGAGTGTTGTGAGATGGTGTCAACATCAATTGAAATTAGTCACCCAGTGGAAATGTCAGATATGTCTTCATAACTGTATCCTTACATTTTACATTCACTCAGTTATAATGTGGTAGTTATACGTAGTTTGTTTTAAATTATTATTAATCACATTATATAGTACATATTTCTTAATTTAAGCATTTAATGCTGTCATGCGTCACGCGTCCAGAGTGCTGTGGGTTGTTGGAAACCATGAAAGGCGTATGAAAGTTATGCTGCAGAACGCAGCGTGCTGATGAAGCAGCAGCCGCTGTGGCGTTGGTATGTGTGGAACGACCCCGCCACAACAACTGATTAATGGATTCCAGAGTAGAGCCACTATGATTATCCCAGCACAAATCAGCTGATCTGAGAACAGTGTTAACCACAGTGTCATCATAGGAAAAAGGTTAGGATACATTTGCATTACATTAATCACCACGACATTTATTTTTACTTTATTTTCTATTTGAAATGTGTACTTCCACACCTGTTCCATTATGAGTTATTGTGTGTGTTTTGAAGATGCTCTGCATGGGGTCATCCCTGACCACGGTGTCCTCTTCCTGTTCCTGCACCCTCTCATTTTCTCCCCACCTTTTAACCTCTCCCACAGCTGAGGACTCTTTGACAGCAGGCCTGTTTTTCAAGCTACCTCTGAACCTCCTACTGTCAGCTGTCTCTTTAGGGCTGTATATTTAGAATGCTTAACTCGACAGCACTGAGATTCCTGTTTGGCAGCGGCAAGGTTGAAGGTTACAAATCTACAAATGTCTGACGGGGCTTTTATGCAGGTTTATTCCTGGCTATTGGAGACGAAGCTGCGAGAACATGCCTGAGCCTGGCTCATCTTGCGGGACAAAAGCCAGCCCGTTTCTAGAGCTCAGGCCTGTGGTCATTCAGCCAGTCAGCGATACAGAGCTGAATGGTGGCAGTGAACAGGGCAGCTGGTAATTGACAGTGATTGTTTACTTGTGTCCTCACAGCTGCTACGATGCCCAGGAGGAGCTGCAGGAGTTCCAGGAGGGGAGCCGGGAGCTGGAGGCCGAGCTGGAGGCGCAGCTGAGTCAGGCCGAATACCGCCTTCGAGACCTCCAGATCGAAAATGAGAGACTGAAGAACGAGGTGGTCAACCTCAAGGTAACTGGGCCTGGTGACTTGCCATGTGGTTCATATTTTAGGATTTGGCTTGGGTTGTTATGATCTATTGACCAATAAAGTCATTTGCGGACTTAGGAGGTTATCTGATCTCTGTTGGATCCGGATGTCTTATTTTAATGTAGGCGTTAACAAGTCGTGAGGTAATCCTCCGGCACTCTTTAATTGGATTGGAAGAAAATAGAGAACTGCAAAGACAAGTATGGTTCTAAATCAATGCAGGCATGAACAGTGGTCAGATGTATTCAATGTGCTGTAGTCACGCTCACATGTTTATAGGTAAACCAATGGCTGTGTATGCATTCAGGATAAATACCCTATCCACCACAGAGCAGAACAGTATTGTGATGTTTCCCATGGCCCCATCATGTGCGTGTGATTACAGCAGCTCATGCTGAAAACAGACGGTGTAAATCAACCAGAAAATACTGTGAATCATGCTTTGTGCCTCAGGGGCCACAACACTAGCATGCTAACTGTACTGTAAAGTGCCACGGGCAAATAAGAGGCTCTATAACCATAACATAATGTGTGGGAGTTCATCTTTACTAACTGTCTTGTGATTCACCAGGTTGTCATCATAACAGTAGGAGTACTGATGATTACTGTTTAGTATATAATATGCTACTTTCACACTGCATGACCCATAAACATTTAATGAAAGTACAGTTTTTTCCTTGTCTTTCTCCACACATTCACTCCCATGTCCTTTTCTTTCCCCCTCACACAGGAGAAGCTGGAGCATCAGCATGCCCAGAGTTATAAGCAGGTTTCTATGCTGGAGGACGACCTGGGCCAGACACGCAGCATCAAAGATCAGCTCAACAAATACGTCCGAGAGCTGGAGCAGAATAACGACGACCTGGAGAGAGCCAAGAGGTCAGACTGACACTTCTTGCTCAATATGGGGGGGGACGACGACACTGAGGAGATGACTTCTAGCTGTATTTAGATGTTTTCAAGCTATTGGACCTTAAATGACAAAACATGTTTTAACAATTTCCCCCTCCAATCTCTACGTATGTGCAGAGCAACGATTGTTTCTCTCGAGGACTTCGAGGGCCGTCTAAACCAGGCCATTGAGAGAAATGCCTTCCTGGAAAGTGAGCTGGACGAGAAGGAGACTCTCCTCGAGTCTGTCCAGCGGCTGAAAGACGAAGCTCGAGGTAAAGACACGACTCTATTCAACCCTTTGGCAGGCACAGCATCGTGAGTCAGGGTTAGTGGAGGAGCTGAAATGGTTGTACATGCCTTTATTACTAGTCGCTTGTTCTGCAGACCTGAGACAGGAGCTGGCCGTACGGGAGCGGACCACCGACAGGATGTCAGCACCCAGCTCCCCCACCTCTGACATCGACAAGATGGACTCAGCAGTTCAGGCCTCTTTATCCCTCCCAGCCACACCCGTAGGAAAGAGCATAGAGCACCCCTTCATCACGCAAAAAGGTCAGGGTTGGAAAGGAATCTCACTCGTTATGACTCATGTGAAATGAGAAATTGTCTGATCTGTATTCTGACATGGGATTGTGTCTTTTGCAGCACTGTCCAACGGCTGCAACGGCAACTCGTCCCTCACTCCTTCTGCTCGAATCTCTGCTCTTAATATTGTTGGCGACCTTTTGAGGAAGGTTGGGGTAAGTCTTATCGCTTTGTAACACATAAGAAGGATACATACCTGGATAGAACACTGATGTCCTCCTCAGCAACAGAAACAGAAATGTGTTTATGATTGGACTAAAGACTGATGGTATCTCCTGTTTTGTGATTAGGCTCTGGAGTCCAAAATCGCCGCCTGCAGGAACTTTGCCAAAGACCAAGCAGCTAGAAAAAATTATTCCACAGACAACGGCAAACTCATCAACAGCAATGCCACAAAGTTCTCACACTCTCTTCACACGACCTACTTTGACAAAACGTGAGTCTTTTATCAAGTGGTTCAGTTATTGCAGAGAATTCCCTCTGGTTTTATAAACCTTTCTGTCTGCCCTGCACTTATACGTGTCTGCGTTTGCTAATATTGTCCATGTGGCTTCTGCAGGACTGTAAACGGGTTGGACCCCAGCTCCTTGACCTCCGTCGCCACATCCAGAGCCGTGTCTCCACCAGCTCTGCTGCCTCTGAGTGTGTGAGACGAACCCCCACCACCTGAACCTCTACTGTCACTGTGGGAACCCAGAGGACACTTGAATGACCTTTACATTGTGTGCTAGGTGTGTGTATGCGAGAGAAAGAGTTTGAAAGGAAACCGATGCCGCGTGTGTTTGCCTGTTTGGGATTGTGCATTTTTTGACGTGTGGAAGAGAGGCTGGACTTCACAATGAACTTGCCTCCAGTTTGCAGCTCTGAATGCATCTGTGAGTAGGTGCACAGTCGTGTGTGCACACGTTCCTACCACACACTTGCATGTGCCTAAAGCTGTGCTTTACTGTGCTTGTATGAATGTCGTTACAAATGTGTTGCTTTCTAGACGTCAACTCTGAAGTGGCACCGTTATATTCTTAGTTCCACTGTTCTTCTGAAACCCCGACAAACGGTCTTACCAGACCAAAGCATCCTCTTGACTTCTTTTGCTCCTGTATTTTCACTCAAAATTGCACAGTTAAGCTAATTTCAATTTAGAATGTATTATATTTAAAAAGGGATGTGTTCATTTTAACTAATTTATCTCACAGTATGCTTTAAAATGCAATATGTTCTTGCATGTGTGCATTTGTAATGTGGGGTCTGAGAGGTGTGGTCGGACCCCATATTCACGACTGAAGTGAATGTTGATCGTTCAAAGCCATGTAGCCATAGTGCAGTCGTTCCTTTTGTTACCGGCTACTTCCTGTGATTAACCTGGAAGTAGTCGCCATGTTGAAGCTTGGAGAAAGCTGCTGGTCAAACCTGCACTTAAACAAACTGCTCCTCAAATGTTTCGCTGCAGTCGAGTGTTTTTTCCGTTGAAATTTCAAGGGAACAGTTTTGCCTTTTTTACGTTTTATGTACACATTTCTTTTTTTTAAATCTTGTGACAGGCTCATTTACCTCGTTCTGATATAAGGGAAATTATCCAGTAGGTGAATTTGGCTCCATAAAACTTAAACAAAGGATACTCATTTCATTTTGGCTGGTGTATTATTTATGGTCTAGTGGCCTTTGTGTCATGCAGCATATTTAATGATTCTCTGTTAACTTGTGACCTAAATGTTTCTTTGACTTTGTATTGGATTTTAAGCAGGTTGGATTTAACAAATCATTTTAAATGTCAAAACACATTTCCCCTGATATCCCTTTGATAAGTCTTTGGGTCTCCGTCTAGAAGAATAATTTAAAGTTCAGTATTTGTTTTATTTAATAATATAATATGTCATTTTGGGCACTCAATGAGCCTGTTACTAACGTGTGTTCTTCAGTCAGTGTATATAGCTTGTATGGATGGTAATTTGTACATACTGACATTTGGCATTAAAAGCCCTATTTATTTCAGATACTGTATGGCATGTTCAGCTAATGAATGGTTAAAGCCATTGTTCTATGATATCAGATTGTTTAAGTAAATAAAGATTGAGATGACAAATAACCTTGTGGTGTTTAGGTCATTTACTATACTGAAATTACAGAGGATAAAGCACAATATACACTTATTGGACATTTATTAAAGCTTGCAGTCACATTGTATGGCTTGTATCAGTGGGTTGTCATTACATATCATGAAGCTGAGGTAATGAGGTGTGAAGTACAATTTCAGGGAGTGGCGAGCCAGCAGCTGATCAGTGATATAGTCCCAGTCCAGCTGTTGGTAAAGAAAGTCTTTACTCAACACTGCTCAGTGTCTGACTCCCTCAGCTGTCCACAGTCCACCAGGGGCCACACAATTAAAGGCCTAATTCCTTCTCCATTTCCTCCTTTAACATGTTCTTTTTGATCTAGAAAACAAATGAAATAGCAAGCGTTTCAGTCCCATTATCCATTTTAAATCTTGGTAGTTCAGTGATGTTGGTGAACTGTACCTTTCCAGAGGCTGTCAGAGGGTAGCTGTCTACAAACATCACATAGTGCGGGATCTTGAAGTGAGATATCTAGTGGGAGAAAACACAAACTGTAAAGCTGTGCTGATTTCTGTTTGAGTATGTTGAGTCATTTTGTCATCACCCACTCTCACCTGGCCTTTGCAGAACGCTCTAATCTCCTCTGCACTGGAGGTGTGGCCCTCCTTCAGCTTGATGAAGGCACACACCTGCTCACCCAGCCTCTCGTCTTTCACTCCAACCACCTGGACAGAGAAATACAACATCTCAGATCACTGTAATATATTTATTATGTTATTTATGTTTAATTATGTCCAACATTCAGAGAGACAAGTATGGCTTCAATGCTTAGCTTTTAGCTGCTGAGACAATGTATCTGACCTCTGCTGCCCTCTAGTGGGTTTCAGTCTCACCTGCACCTCTTTTACTTTCGAGTGTGTATAGAGAAATTGCTCTATCTCAGCAGGATAGATGTTCTCCCCTCCTCGGATGATCAAATCCTTCATACGTCCTTCAATGCGAAGGTATCCCAAACTGTTTAGACTGGCTGTGTCACTGTGTAGAAGGAAAAATCATAAATGATGTAGCATCTGACATCAAACCCTGTTAAAGTATGCCTTTGTATCTTCTGTATACATTGCACATACTAGTCTCTTACCCAGTCCTGTACCAGCGGTCCTGGGAGATAGCTTCACTGGTTTTCTGAGGGTCCTCCCAGTATCCCTGCATCACACAGCTGCCTCTGACCATCAGCTCCCCCGAGGCCCCCAGAGGGACAATCTCCCCGGTACAAGGGTCGATCACTTTGGCCTATAGTAAAGACACACAGGCACAAGTCACAGGGAGGTTATGGCACGAATAAATAAGGTTTTTCTGGCAAATAATGAGGCATACCTCAGTGTGGTTCATGATACATCCAACAGTATTCATCTTCAAGTCCTCATTGTCTTGTGGGAATCCAAGGAATGTGATGGGGCTGTTCTCAGTGGTTCCATAGCCTATCTGTTAGAAAATGATGAACCTATGATGTTATATGATGAAGAAGCATATGCTTATAGTTATAATAAATACGTTTTATAGGCAAAATTATTATTCAGAATATGTTACCGTTATATCTTTCATGTTCATTTCTGTTATTAGTCTTCTCACAATCTCAGGAGGGCACGGAGAACCACCAATGACGCCTTAAACACAGCAGCACATACGCAAGGATGCCTTCAATGCTTGCTAACAATTACACCAAGTTCAATACAACAGATGTTTTAGTCTTTTATATCTATTACCAGCTTCAAGTGATGACAAATCGTACTTGTGTAAATCCTGTTGGCTTAGCATGTCGGTGAACATTGTGGGAGTGCCGTACACATATTTGCACCTCAATTGAAAAAAGCACAAATTAACTTAAGTGTAAGATATTTTATATTTAAAGTTAATTTGCGTGATGAGCAGGGTGCCATACCTTTCACTCTGAATGGCCTCCAGGTTGGCTCGGCTGTTGTAGGCAGTGGAAGGGAAGACCAGTGTGATGCCATGCAGTGCCATAGCCATCCCTCCCAACACTGAGCCAAAGCAGTGGTACATAGGTACGGGCACACACACTCGCACCTGAGGCTGATGGGGAAATGAAAATACAATTACTTACATTTTACTGTCTGCATGTTTTTAATGATCAAGAGACCAATATAGACTTACTTTTTCTCTAAAACCTATTCTGAGTCCCAAAAAGTAGGCATTGTTTACAATATTGTGGTGTGAAAGACTGACTCCCTTTGGACTCCCTGTAGTCCCCTGAAACAAAGAAGCATGATCTTTATAGTGTCAGTCCAAGATATATAAAATACATGAGTGACAGTGTGACTGAGGGTTACCGATGTGAACTGGATGTTGATGGGATCATCGAAGTACAGCTTTCTCTGCAGCTCCATCAGCTGTTGGTAGTGCTGACTCTCCCCTGCTTGCATCACATCGTCTACGTGGAGCATCCCTGGCTGTCTGCTGTCCGTCACAATCACCATACGCAGCTCTGGCACCCTGGCACAACCGAGACAGGATATTTATTTAAATCAACGGAAAATGATTAAGCATTTAATGTCGGTTACTCCCATAATGGTAACAGAAGAAGACAACATTTATTAAATCTGATATCTGAGATTGACTCTGTCAAACCTGGAGCTTTTGATCATTCCTGCTGACGACGAGTCAATCTCTGGACAGAGCTCCCTCAGCATCTCACAGAAATGTTGGCTTTTAAAGCTGGTAGGGCAGAGCACAGCTTTACACTGGACCTGCAAATGACATATATTTGGTGTTTGATTTTTTTTTTTTTTAAAGTGTTGCAGAAGGTTAAGGTGGGGCTTCCTTTTCTTACTATATACTTCCAAGTAGCTTGTGAATTTCACTATAAAGATCAATCAAGTCTTATCTTCATCAATAATATTCATAATAACATACTGTATCTACCTAATGTACTTTTGGATTGGAATGGAAGCTTAAAGTAGCATAAAATAGAAAGTCTCAAGTAAAAGTACCTGCCAACTGTGTAGAGGTATTTTTACTATATGCACATTATAACAGCTAATGATAGTAATACTCTGTAACACAACTCACTGTACCTTCGTTAGAGTAAACTCCACTTCCTTCACCTGATAGGCCGGGTTCAATGAAACCTGCATTGATAAAAAAAAAAATATATATATATTATACACCTGATTTGAAACACATACAGAAATGAATTAAAAAGCTACAGTGACCTAGTAGATATTCAGATGGTACAGAATAACTTTCCAGGGTCAATATCCTGCTCACTCATACTTGGCAGCAGAGTGTTTGACAACAATGAGCAGACTGTCTTTCTAACCACAAGGCTACATTGTAAATGCATTTGTAAATCTGAAACTGACCATTATAATTCCAGTTTTGGCTGAGGCAAACTGGAAGAGGATCCACTCGTACGTGTTGGGTCCCCAAATTCCCAGTCTGTCGCCTCGCTGCAGGCCCAAAGCGAGCAGACCTGCAGCCGCCTTGTCAACCTGCACCAAAGAATGTTACAGATAACTCAGATAATCATTTAATACTGTGACTGCTTGATAGATTTGTCTGATGCAATCAAGTATTCCTGTGATTCAGAGAAGCTTGGTGATGAGTTCTCCCAAAGAGGAGACCAATTCATATTATTAAACTACATTTAATGGGGGTTGCTTCATGTAGAGTTAATGACAAACCACCATTTCATTGGGATTCAAAAGGTCTAACAAGTATCCTACTAACATAACAAGTTAACATTTGTAATGATTTGAGAAGTTGTTCTCGAAGTGTTCTTTATTGGAACAGGAGACTCTTAACATATCATGAATAGTGTTTGAGGGTTAATAAATGCATGAAAGCTCTTGATAACAGAAGCTGAAGACCTACATCTTGATGAAACTGTGCAAAGGTTTTCCGGATGCCGTCCTGCAGGAAGACCACAGCTTCACGGTCGGGCCAGCGCTGAACGGTGGAGTCCAGACTCTGGCCCACGGTCAGGGGGAGCAGAGGGATGGTGGAGGTGCCGTGCACATAGCTGCTGCTCAGTGCGGGTGTGGGAAGACGGCTGTCCACATGGAGGGACCTCACATTCAAAGGTTTAGCAAAAAGAGCATGGGTTTAATGCAGTAGTTACAATGTGATTGGAACATCAGCATTTACTGCAGATTTGAAATAAGATGATGAATCTTTTTTCTCTATTTGAGTAATTCAAAATATCAGGGTCACAACCCCCAGCAAAAGCATTTTGGGGGGTCTTGAGGCATTCTTGGGTAATCATATACAGCTGTGTATGTCTCAGAATTTCATTCATTTGTTTGGAGACAAATTGATGAAATTCTTATTTTTTGTTAGGATTATTAATTAATTAATAAGCTGTTATTTCATTGATAAGCATTGAAAATAATATTAAATACCCTAGTCAATTTGCTTTATTTGTTTTTTGTGTTTTGCTTGCAGTCTGTACTATCAACCCAGTCTCATGGTATTTCGTTTTCACCAACACGATATTTGATCTATTGATTCGTGTTCACCAACACGATTTGCCCCTTTTTTTCTTGTTGCACAGCACGATTTTAAAAGCAATGTATTTCTACTGCCTGCAGCACGTCTTTTTCTCCGGTCGGGTCGAGGAAGACCGGAAGCTGTGTGGTTCATAAAAACATGTTCTTACTCAATATCAAGCCACAGTTATTGCTTTTATTTGAAATCGTATAATTTCGGACTTTTGTTGCCGTCTGTGAGGAAAATAAATGGGGTCAGAGCCTCAGGATACTGAAATCTGTATTTTTTAAATCTTTTTTTCCTTCTATTCTTTTCAAAATAACACACTGTTATTTACTCACCAATAACACACAATTATCCTTGCTTTTATTTATTGGTTTAATTCCATAATCTCTGGCGTTTTTGGCTTCCGTCAGGAACTGAATTTCAAAATAAAAATAACCGGAAACAGACGTAGGCATTTCGAGCGATTACCCAAGATCCTCAGCTATGGTTTTAAGCTCGTTTATTGGATGTTTTAGCCGCA